ATTCAGATCTAATCATCATGGTGTCTAAACAGACAACAGTGGCTGTGTGTTTTAAAAATCAAGAACAGAGCTCTCTCTGTGGCCAAATGAAATGGTTGGATTATGGGCAGCTGAGCTTTACAATCCACACAAAACCTTTTYGAATGTTTTTCACATTAACCTCTGGGCCTTCTATAGGGCATTGTGGAATTATAGAAGAGTTTGGATTTAAAGGGAACTGAAAGATCACCCCATTCCACCCAGTGCCATGGGCAGGGACCCCTTGCACCATCCCAGACTGACCAAAACCCAGCTCAGCCTGGCCTTGGACACTGCCAGGGATCCAGGGGCAGCCACAGCTCCTCTGGGCACCCTGTGCCAGGGCCYCMCCACCCTCCCAGGGAACAATTCCTTCCCAATATCTAATCTAAACCCGCTCCCTGTCAGTTTGAAGTCTTTCCCCCTTGCCCTGTCACCCCATGTCCTTGTCCCAAGCCCCTCTCCATCTCTCCCGTGGCCCCTTAGGGCCCTGGAAGGTGCTGGAAGGTGTCTTTGGACCCTTCTCCTCTCCAGGCTGCCCAGCCCCAGCTCTCCCAGGCTGCTGCAGAGCAGAGGGGCTCCAGCCCTGGAGAATCTCCTCTGGACTCTCTCCAAGAGCTCTCTGTGCTCCTCAGGCTGTGGCTCCAGAGGGGACACAGCACCCCAAGACATTCTCACCATGGGGGAGAATCACCTCCCTCCACCTTCTGTCTGAGCTGAAGTGACTTTTGAAGCCTCTTTTCTAACTTTTCTTGGTGYTTCAAGAGGTGTTTCAACAAGCTGCCCTGATGAATTTCTGTGCAGTCAATGTACTGAGCCAACCTCTGCAGAAATACAGAATTTCTGTCTCTGCCACCAAGGAGCCAAAATTTTTCTTTGCCTCTGAGAGTCACTTTGAGAAATATCCATTGCCACACCCAAACCCAAGTTATTTTCCAGTCCCTTGCTTTTCACAAAATATTTTTTCCTATCCCACTAAGGTAGGAGGGGAAAAAAGAATCTCAACTTTTTCCTGGCCCTCTGAGGCTTTGGATTTTCTGTGAATTCCCAAGGGATCTCCCAACAGATTAAATCAGCTTCTAGAAGCAAAGAATTGGAATTGGAACTCTGTGACCAGCTCTGGAAAATTCCTGTCACCATTTCCACTATCCCCATCCCAGAAAATACCTAGTTCTTTTGCTCACACACACTGAGCTTTTTAAAAGTTCAGTTCAGATTTTAAAATTGGTGGCTTAGCATCTTGTTTTACATCACAATTTTTTCAGATCCCAGAGAAATGTGAGATGACTGCAGGATTGTGATGAACACCACACAGAATAGGGAAGGCTGCAAAGTACCATTTTTGCCATCCCACTGCTGAGTGCAGCTTAAGAGTTCATTTTAAATTTGTTGAAGGTTAGGGAACAAATGTTGAACCAAAATAGTTTCTGTTTTGGCTAGAAAGGAAAACACAGACAGGAAAAAKGCATTTCAATTAATATTTAGTCATTTACTGAATTTTTTTTCAGTAATTCACAGCCTTAAATAAGAGTGTGAGTCCCTTAAAGCAGCACCCTGTTTTCTTGGGAGTGTACAATCACAAATATTGYTCTTACTTTTCCTGATGACTTGATTCCTTTAGCAAGGGAGGCATAAACAATCACCCAAGCTAGGAAAAGAGAYAGTGCCAAGGGCCATCTAATCTCACCAGGATATTCAATCCCTGCTGAAATCTTCAACACAAAGTACCTAAGAATAAGAAAAAAAAATTAAAAATATTTGAAAAAAAAAAAAAATAATGACAGCAACCACAGGCAGTAATTCAATKCAAATTCCCTTTTTGTTTTGCTTCAGTGTCCTCAGCAGTTTCTCTAGAAGGTTCCAGTGATTCTCACCATGTATTATTTTATTTATCTGCATTGCAGTAGTAGATAAAACTGCCAGGCATGGGCCAACACCCCAGCTGTGCTAAGCACCACAGGAACAGAAAATAAGTAATCCAGCTCTCATCATTCCTAAGCATWAAAAACGAGCATCATTTGCTGCCCTTGACTGCTGCATTTCTGCTTTTCCAAGCAGTGATTTGTTGCCCGTTCCAGTGGATTTTACAGAAAGATTCACGTAACTTCTCTAAACAAAGAAAGATCTTACTTGAAATATTCTTCACTCCCGCTGACAAAYGTTTTGTTTCCTTCCCTGGTGAAGTTAACCATGGTTAGGTTTGGATAGGCACTCATACAGAAAGTAGAGTTCTTGATCTGTATTTTTGGATGGTCTCCAATAATGCAGGAATCTGGGGAGAAACGGGGTGGGGGAGCAGAAAAATGAGATGTAGAGATTTTCGTTTGGTTTTAGTTCGGTTGTAAAATGACAAGAAAGCAATAGATCACACATAATTCACTTTTGTTCAAGTGCCGACACCTTTTTCAAGGTGTTTACAAGGTGTACGTTTCCCGTTTTCATGTTGTTGTGTGTTTTGGGCCATTTGCAGAAATTGTTTCTGGGGGTATTTTTTCGTTAAAGACAAGCTTCGCTAAAGATAAATGATCTGGTATTTTGTTCTGTGCTTTATTCCCCACATAGAGTTTTCCTCCGGGGAACAAAATTAATTGGAGGGG